TTCTGCTTGAGTCCAATCCACTATTCCAGCTGTACCTAATGACTGGGATTGCCCAGGTGTTGATTGCCTTTATGGTATTTCCTCCATTGAGTTTGGATTTTAAGATCTTCTTCACTGTCTTGATGTATTCACCTCTAATCTTTTTCTTGACTTCAGTGTGCTTGATGTTGTCAGCTTGAAGGATACCCAAGTATTTGTAGTACTCTTCCTCATCCAGACTCTTAATGTTATTTTCGTGGGGCATCTTGATTCCTTCAGTTTTCAATATTTTTCCTTGTTTGATAGTAAGTGTGGCACATTTGTCCAAGCCAAACTCCATTACAATATCTTGGCTATATATACGGACAGTGTTGAGCAGCGATTCTATTTCAGATGATGTTTTTCCATACAACTTCAGATCATCCATATAAAGGAGATGGGATAGTCTGGCAGATGTTTTTGATGTTTGATAGCCATGTCCTGAGTTATTCAGTATTGTTGACAGAGGAAACAGTGCAATAACAAATAGTAATGGTGATAATGAATCTCCTTGAAATATTCCTCTCTTGATATTAACCTCTCCCAGCCTCTCACCATTGATCTGCAACTGTGTCTTCCATTGTGCCATCGATCTTTGCACAAATTTTCTGATGTTTCTACTGACTCCTGTTATTTCTAGGCACTTGATTATCCAGTCATGTGGCAGAGAGTCAAATGCCTTTTTGCAGTCAATCCATGCCACATTCAGGTTGGTCTTCCTTCTCTTGCAGTTTTCCAAGATCATTTTGTCTATTAGGAGTTGATCTTTTGTTCCTCTGCTATTGGGGCGGTTTCCTTTCTGCTCAGGTGGAAAGAGATTGTTTTCAACTAGATGCTGTTGTACTGCATCAGCTACCACACCAGTTAGTAATTTGAAAGTTGTTGGTAAACAGGTAATTGGCCTGTAGTTGCCTGGTGTTGCCCCTTTTGCTGGATTTTTTATTATTAGGTAGGTTTTCCCAGTTGTTAGCCACTTTTCAATTTCTCCTCCTTGTAGTATATTGTTGAACTGCTTGGCAATGAGTGGGTGTATAACAGTTAGATGTTTCAACCAAAACCCATGCAGTTCATCTTCACCTGGTGCTGACCAATTTTTGATTTTCTTTGCTCTTTTTTCTACCATTTTTGTTGTTATTACTAGTTCTTTCATTTCAACTTCTGTTTTATTTGCATCCACCTCTTTTAACCAAGCCGCATCCTTGTTGTATTTCTTTGGGTTATCCCATATCTGCTTCCAGAACTGCACTGTTTCTTCCTTGTCAGGTACTGACTGATTCCTTGCAGTTTCTCCATTGATGGATTGGTAGAAACGTTTCTGATTGGATTGAAATTGGAGGTTCTGCCTATAGTTTGCAATTCGAGCTTCATATCTACTGATTTTCCTGGCTATAGCTGTTATTTGTTGCTTTATTATTTCCAGTGCTTCCTTGATCTTCCTTGTTTCTAAGTGGTATTTCTTGATTAGGTATTCTTTGGTCTTCTTGTTCTTCAGCTTCTTTTCTTTCATCTGTTCTAGCTTGCTTGCATGTGATCTTAACTTGCTGATCTTATTTTCTAGTCTAACCTTCCATTTTTCTGGTGCACTGTTTGTTTGTTTTTCTTTTTTGTTGATTTTGCATCCCAGGTATTCTGTTATAACTGCAGCTGTGCTATACATTAGTTGGTTTGTTTCTTGCAGTGAATTGGTGCTTATACTTGATATTGCAGTATTTGCATCTTTTAATGCTTGTGCTAGCTGTTTCTTTGGAACAAGCTTCAATGCAGGTAGCCTTATTCTGTTGTTTTTGTGCTGTTCTAGATGCTCAGTTATTCTTTGTTTCAATTCTTTTATTTCTTTAGTTAGAGGGTTTTGTTCTTCCTGAGGTAGAGGTGCCTGGTTTCCAAATGAGAACAGTTGTATATCTCTGCTGGATTCCTTCACTGCCAACTCCCCCTGGTTTGCCTCTACATTCTGAATTACTTCTGGTAAGGCTTTGATTTCTTTGCCCTGGGTAAACCTTTGCAGTTCGTCCAATTCTGTTTCTGTGAATACTTTATTTCGTGTTATAAATCGGCGTTGATCTGCTAGTCTCTGTTCTGTTATTTCTGATTCTGGATGTTGTTCTTTCCAGAACTGGTGCATTCGTTTTAGATATCCTCTTCTTGTTGGACTTGATCTGTAGTAACAGATCATTATTTCTTTGTTTTCCATCACTGTGTATCTGCGACGGGTAAACACCTTTTCTTCCAGTAGTTCTGCAGCTGCTGGCCCTGGTTGCTCAGCCAACAGTCCTGAGTCCTGTAACCCATTTTTCACCAGATATCCAGGAACTCCAATATCTAGCGCGGACCTTGTTAACTCGGGCGACGTCCGAGCTGGTATGGCATTCTGCAATTTACGTCTCACCATGTTTTTTATGGGAGAGACACTCTTTGTCTGACTCCTCTGATGAGACCTGTCCAGTATGGTTGAACCTCTGGCATAGCTCTCATCTTCCTCAGAGTACACAAGCCCCACAACCACGTCAAGGCAGTGTTGTTGTTGTTGTTGTTGTTGTTATTATTATTATTATTATTATTGAGTTGGAAGAGACTTCAGAGGTCTTCTAGTCTAGTGCAACCCCTTGCTCAGGCAGTATACCCTATACCATTTCAGACAAATGGTTGTCCAGTCTCTTCTTAAAAACATCCAATGTTGGAGCATTCACAACTTCTGGAGGCAGGTTGTTCCACTGATCAATTGTTCTAACTGTCAGGAAATTTCTCCTTAGTTCTAGGTTGCTTCTCTCTTTGGTTAGTTTCCATCCGTTGCTTCTTGTCTTGTCTTCAGTGTTTTGGAGAATAGTTTGACTCCCTCTTCTTTATGGTAACCCTTGAGATATTGAAACAGTGTTGTCATGTCACGCCTAGTTACTCTCTTCATTAAACTAGACATACCCAATTCCAGCAATCATTCCTTATATGTTTTAGCCTCCAGTCCCCTAATCATCTTTGTTGCTCTTCTCTGTACTCTTTCTAGAGTCTCAACATCTTTGTTACATTGTGGCAATCAAAACTGGATGCAGTATTCCTAGTGTGGCCTTACCAAGGCATTGCAAAGTGGAATTAACACTTCATGTGATGATTTTTTTTTTTTAACACTTCATGTGATCTTGATTAATGCAGCCTAGCACTGTTTTGGCTTTTTTGGCAGCTCAGCACACTGCTGGCTCATATTTAAGTGATTGTCCAAAAGTGATTTATTACATTAGCATATATTACAATTATATTGCAATTATAATTTGTTGCACAGTCAGAGAGATGATTGGACTGGATTTGATATTTTTGTCTGCTTACTGAGTCCTTCCCAAGAATCTGTGATAGGCAGGTACCGGTATTTTTAATGTAAGATGTAATCTGTTCCAAGTAAAGCATGATCCAAATTCTCATCTAATACTCTAATCTTTCCTCCGTGGTTTCTCTCCCATTGCTTCCCACGAATCATTGAACTGCTGAATTCAAAGCAGGTCTCTAGAGAGAAGGCAGAACCCACTGAGAATGACTCATAAATAAGGCTGTCTCTGTCCCTCCCTCCCTTTTTTGTGTTCACATCACAGAGACAGGCTGACATATGCATTCATGCACAGAGGAAGAACACTGTTTATTTGCCTTTGTAGGTGTACCCACTGGCACAAACCAAGCCTGCGTGGACGTGTATTTGCCAGCAGGTTGCCAGCTTCCTCTCAAGTTGAGTTAAAGCAACCTTGCCAGACCAGTGTTATCAGTCCAGCTCCCAGCAACAATTATGTCATTATTAAGATTCTCTACTAATGGAAAATAGGTCCTCTGTGCGTGTGCGTGTGTGCGTCTGCTATGGAAGAATATCATATGGATGCTGGTTACATATGTCCCAATGGGACAGAGAGCATTGCAGAGATTTAAAAAAATTGATATGGCCAATGCTACTCTTTTTGCAGACCCCATTGACCTGTGGCATTTTCAGTCTATTTTATTTTGCATTTATTTCTGTGCGCACCATAGCAACGGTTGGATTAAGGAGAGATGCCTTGAGCACAAACCCTTGCCCAGACAGTAGACTATGCCACTGAGTAAAGCTTTTGCTGCCTCTCTCTCCCTCAGACTGTTTTTCTTTCTTACTTGCAAAATGGGTAGTCCATCAACCTATCTCAGAAGACAGATGAGACAGATAATTGCAGACAGCTGATGCAAACAAACAACTGTGAAATGAAACATTTGGCAAGAAGCAATGATAGTTAATCCAAATCAAGTCTGCAGATGTCCACCACAGCTTTTGGAGGAAGGAGTGCAGTTTCTTGAGTTCCTGAAGAGAAGGTAGGATAACCATCTAATAAACAAATAGATCTACCAAATGGGCTTAAAGAAACTTGATTGGAAGATACTTGCTGAGAAATATACTAGGAAGGAATGGCTGGCTTCTGAGGGTCAACAAAGCCCAGTTAAACTGTAAGGCACCAGCACTCCTGATGTAGCATTCCCTTGGTTGTAAATCAAGAAGATTTCAGGTTTTCTGCAGCAAAGAGCTCTTTTTATAGTTATACCTGAATCACCAGCTTCCCTAGGAACTCTAGCCTTGGGACAAATCAGCACATGAGAGCATGGTCTAGCTTTCAGGTTCTCCAGTTTCCCTCTGGAAGGAACTTCATTGAGGTAAAATATTCATTTCCCGAAGAATCCAGTTTGGCAAAGCTGCTTGTTATGATTGTCCAATGACTTTCCTTTTAATAAAAGGATTAAAGAAGAAGTAGACCAAAGGTGCCACAACCCAAATGCTTTTAAAAAACATTCCTTAAACACACACACACACACACATACACAAAACTCCTAACATAACAAATCAAACCTGCTTAGAAAAGGGCTGGGGAGTGGGAAGGGGCAGAGTAAACAGACAAGGTGCTAATCTGTATGTCATTATGCAATGCTGTGGCTATCTCATGACAGCAAGGCCATTCAACAGGGCTCCATTGTGTGGAGACAAAAATAAGGAAATCAGCATCCAAATTGGAGCTTGCAGAAGGGGAAAGCTTAGACCTTGCTTGAAGATGGAAAGTTTCCAAACTCCAGAAGAGCAGGTAGAAGAGAGGACTGGCCACCTTCTTGGCTCCACCCACACCTGGGCACAATCCCTTCTTGCTACACCTACAGAGGGAAAGCTATATATATGTATATGTCTGCATGGCCCCAACATTTGGACAATCCTTTTATATCTTTGGCCCTATGATTGCCAGTTCACCAGCTCCAGCCCAGCCATGAGGAAAGAAGTTTGCACCGTTGTTTTTCTCCGAGCCGTCTTCACCGAGTTCTTGGCAACAATGATTTTTGTGTTCTTTGGTTTGGGCTCAGCCCTGAAGTGGCCATCAGCCTTGCCAAGTGTCCTTCAGATTTCCCTGGCATTTGGCTTGGCAATTGGCACAATGGTACAGACCTTTGGTCACATCAGTGGTGGCCATATCAACCCAGCAGTGACCATCGCTTTCTTCGTTGGAAACCAGATCTCTTTTCTCCGGACATTGTTTTACATTGTAGCTCAGCTGCTGGGGGCCATTGCTGGTGCAGGCATCCTTTACGGAGTGACCCCCACCAACACCCGTGGTAATCTGGCAGCCAATGGGGTAAGTACCTCTCTCACAAGGCGGTGGAGGTCTAATAATTTGTGTGAGGAATTCTCAGGCAGGTCCATATTCTCCTAAGGGAGAGTTTGCATCTCAGGGGGAAATAAGTAGCAGCTGCTCTGTTCTGCACACTGGGGGAAAAGCAGCTTTTCCATTCCCAGAGAGCAGGTGGTGCAACAGATGGAACGCAAGGGGGAAATGTTCCCTTATTCAGACATCCAGACCTCTAGATGTTTGCTAGCATGCATGGAGCTATTTACAAGGCAGAGCTCTTTGCAACTGTCCCTATATCCTAGGGGAACAAGTGAATCCATTTAAAAAGGAAAGCAAGAACTGCATTAACTCAATCACTGCCATAGGTAAAAGGATCAGCAGGAACAGCGTAGAGAATCTACCCATAGTTATTGGTTGCTTATTAAAGATTCATTATTTTTCCTTTTCAAAAACCTTTCCCTGTAATTTCACACTTGATGCAAATTTGTGTCTATTGGCTTGTGTGCTCTTGGAAAGGCATCAAAAGAATGGTGCCTAGGATTTGCAAGCATGCACACAAGCATACACATACATATCGCTTACTATATTGTTCCTCCAAGCCTCCTAAAAAATAGCTTTTGATAAACAGAGTAATCATTTCTGGTTCAATGCAAGGAATGAGGGTTTTGAATAGAAAAGGACAGCCAGCTACAAACATGTAGAACAGCCTATCTCAAGATCCCCGGAAAATATCACAGGGCAGCGTTAAATTCATTGACCCCAAGGTTTCATCATAATAAATTAGACAAACAAATCTGGGAAGCTTGTGAGAAACGTTATTAGAGTTGGACCAAAAAAAAAAAAAAGATACAGAAAACAGCATGGAGATAATATTTGAAGGACCATGTAAAAGCAAATCTCAAGATTTGTGTGGGCCTTGGTGATTGGAGGGACACATTTATGTTTTCTTTGCAGCAAAATGGATGTAGTTTGACATTGTCATAAACCTCCCTTATCATTAAATGCAAGTGGGAGTTTCAAGTCTCATTTCTAAGAATTATAAGTAGAATTCAAGACTGGTTCTGTTCAGAATTATGCTATGATTTCAGATTATGGACAATGTGCCCTCATTCCATCCTTTCCCCAAGGAACACTTTTTTTAAAAGATTTTTTTAATCCTGCCTTTATTATTTTTGTAAATAATTCAAGGTGGCAAACATGTCTAATATATCTTCCTTCTCCTATTTTCCCGACAACAACAACCCTGTGAGGTGATTTGGGCTAAGAGAGTGTGACTAGCCCAAAGTCACCCAGCCAGTTGTCATGTTAAAGGCAAAACTAGGACTCATGTGCCTTGGTTTCTAGACTGGTGCCTTAACTAGGTCAAACTGGCTTTTATTTCTCACCTTGTTTCTCACTTTTATTTCTCCATCACATCTTACTTCATCAGTGCTTATTATCACAGTGATTTAGATATTGCATCAATTATCTAATTACAGCTATTAGACGAAAAACTTAAAGGGAAATTGAGAGCCTCTTGCCCCATCAAAGCTTTCTATTTGCATTATAACCCCAACTAAAGTAAGCGTTGCCTTAGGGGAAAATAGATATATAATTTAAAATGAAGTGTATTAGCACCAGTCTTTTCTAAATCAAATATAACTGATTCTTGCATTAAGTATGATATCAGGACCCATTTAAAGGTCAAGGTACCTCCAACTGAGGTTACCTAAAAGAAACTTTCAATCTGTTCCAAATTACTGAACTCTCTCGTATCTTTTCTTCTGTTACCTTCAACAAGCCTTCATGGTTTTAAAGGCCATTTCACATAGATACAACATTATCCAAAGGAAAATATTCCAGATGGGATCAGCTGAGACACAATATGAAAGAGATTTTAAGAAATCAGGGTTGAACTCCTTAACACCTAAAGAACCATGCTCTATTTTTTTTTTTTTTTTTTTTGCAAAGCCTTTTAAGATTCTTAGTTTGCTCTTTTGGGAAGGTGCCTCTAATCTCATGCCTCTGCTGAAACTTAGTAAATGGAATTGTTTATTTGAGATTAAGGAACACCCCCCCCCCAGTGACACAAGTAAAGCCATTGTACACAGTTAATTGCAGATCACATCTCAAAACATTTAAACCAAAAGGCAATCATGAAGACCTGTTCCACAGCTGAACACTCACAATTCTTCTTGATTTTTAGCAGAAGTGACTTCCTGACAAGAAGATACAAGATTAAAGTCTAAACCTCTGTCCTTTTTCTTCTAACAGCTTAGCAACAACACAACAGCAGGTCAGGCTGTGGTAGTGGAGATTATCCTGACTTTCCAGCTTGTCTTCTGCATTTTTGCCTCAACTGACAACCGTCGAAATGACAATGTGGGATCCCCATCTCTGTCCATTGGACTGTCAGTCACCCTCGGCCATCTAGTGGGGGTAAGTGTTGTTTGTGCTCATTGAGCAAAAACCAAAGAAAGGAGCAAATGGAGGGAGTGTGCTAGTTCAACTCATCACTGCCTCTCTTGGCTGGTAACCACCCTCAGATCATAAGGTGCTATAACTATTACAGTCTGTGTGTATTCATGTGCAAGCAGATTATGTATGAACTCCAGGAAAGCAAGGCATCTGTAGCTATATTTTTTTCCTGGGCAGTTGATCTTTAGGAATATCGGGATTTTCAGAGAATAGGATAACTTCCTGGGCAACTTCTTCCCAATTCTAAAGCACAAAATTTCAAAACAAAGTTTTAGGATCTACCATAGGCACCATAGACCAGGCATTTCCAATTCACAGCCCATAGGCCACATACGACCCTGGACAACTAGCCCCACAAGATATAATAAAAATATTTTAAAAAATTAAGTTTATTATCAATACATGTAAACTGTGTTATGTAATTAATATGCTGCCCATGACAATTCCTCTTCACTCAATGCAGCCCAGGCAAGCCAAAATGTTGGACACATATGTGGTAGACTAGTGATTCTCAACCTGTGGGTCGGGACCCCATTTGGGGTCGAACGACCATTTCACGGGGGTCGCCAAACAACGCAGTCCGCCATTTTCCCCCTCTTTTCCTTAGCTGTGCTACTCCCTTTTATTCTACTGGCTTTTGAAAGCCAATAGAATAGACTCTCTTGAATAGAGTCTAATTCTATTGGCTTTCAAAAGCCAATAGGAATTGTCCAGGCTGTCTCTGCCCTGCTGAGCCCGCCAAAAGTCCCATTCTGCAAACAGTGCTGCACCAGTTGAGTAGTCCTCAACTTACGACCGGTTGAGTAGTCCTCGACTTACGACCAGTTGAGTAGTCCTCGACTTACGACCGGTTGGGGGTCACGGCATTAAAAAGGTTGAGAACCACTGTAGTAGACAGAAGCTTTTGTGAGTGATGTAATTAGCAGAATTCATAACACTCAATCCTCGCAATCCATATGGTGCCTGTGTTGAACTCCATGCTGGCTGTCTTTTCTCCAAACATCAGCACAGATGGTAAAGCCTTTGTAATATCAAGCCACAGATGGAAGTGCCAAAATCCCTCTTAAATAATAAATCTTCCTTGCTGTGTATTGCCTGATCTTTCCTGTTCACTATGACTGGTGCTGGGAGCTAAATCTTTTGGAGGCCCTTTAGTGATTGGCTGCTGTGATCCAGAAAACCAGGTTTCCCATAATGTATGGCAAGAGGAATGCTAGCCGAATGATAATTGGTAGGTGGTCTTCCGGGGAAGGGAGTAGGCAGATTGTTAGAAATGTTTACTTTGAAGTGGCAAGAGAAGTCTATATGGTTAATTTACTTTGTTTTTCTCTTGTACAGATCTATTTTACTGGCTGCTCTATGAATCCTGCCAGGTCTTTGGGACCTGCAGTCGTCATGAAGAGATTTACCTCTGCTCATTGGGTAAGAAATGGATTTATCATAGTGGCCTAGCCAATGGTGGGATCAAACAGGTGAATAACCAGTTCTCTGTGTGGATGTTGCTTCCGGAAGTCCATTCTGGGCCTGGGCAACAAAAAAGTAGCTACCAGTTCGGCCAAAGTGGTGCGAACCGGCTGAATCCCACCACTGGGCCTAGCTCATAGTAATCAAAATGAAATTGATTGAACCATATCCTTAATGGCAGCTTTCTAGAGGAAATGACATAAAACTGGCCAGGATAATACAGTATCGAAGAAAATAGAAAGAACAACCAAGATATTATAATAAGTTAGAAAAGTGAGCTGAAAAGCACAGGATGGAACTTAATATAGGTAAATGCAAAAATTAAAAAGTAATTAAACTCACAGGTATAGCATGGGTAATACCTACCTTAATAACATTGCATATGAAAAGGACCTTGAAATTGTAGTTTATCCAAGTGAGGGTTGGTCAACAGAAATATAGTTTCCAAATCATAAGAAATGTATTCTTGCACTAAGCAGACACGGGGTTAGACTTGACCTATGGTCTTCACCAGATCAGTAACATATATAACCCCAGAAATATTTCAAAAAATGTATAGCATTATTCACATCGGCTTTGCAACCATATTGAGACAGAAATTCCACAACATTCATAACAGAACAGGATTTCTCTGTCTCTAGTCCCATATGCTCATATCTCAATTGGTTCTTAAAATGTGAGCTGAAAAAACTATGAAATGCAGAAGCCCATGACAACTAACTAACTAACCATGAGAAGGTCTCACTGAAACATTATTTCTTTTCTTGGAAACTGTTTTTGTTTGTTTGTCTTTGCATTTTGATCCAAAAGAACCTTCAAATTGGTGTAATTTCCTAAGAATCTGAAGACAATCAAAGAATAAATCACTGCCCGGATATATTTCATACTAACTTCTGAAAAGTCTCAGAGATTTTGCACAAGCAGAAACAATTCATTTTTTTTTAAATTCAGAGGCATTATGAACTAGGCTGCGTTTCATAATACATTATGTCAAAACAAAACATAATATGCTATGTCAAAAGAAATTTTATTATGTCTTAACTCACTCCTTATATGTTAACTCACTTAGAATATCATATTATATTCTGATTCACACAACCTGTTAAAATAATAGCTAGCTTTTCAGAACCTACCAAACCTACTCAGTCCCATTTAACCAAGACTGTTGTGTTGTGCAAACCCACCATAACTCTATTAACTGCACTAACTGGCTTAATTGGGGAAATCTGTAAGTATTTAACTAATTCCTTTTATTGGTTTCTCAGGTGTTCTGGGTTGGACCCATTTCTGGAGCCATTCTAGCTTCTGTATTGTACAACTACGTACTGCTTCCTCACCCAATGAATATGTCTGAAAGGGTGGCCATCATCAAAGGTACTTACGAGTCAGAGGAAGAGTGGGAAGAGAAAGAGAAAAGCATGGAAATGTCTTCTCCATAAACAAAAGCAATCAGAAGGAGAGAAGGAACCTGATGGCTTGCATGACAATAAACACTCACTGTATACCTTGTAAGCCCAAGAAATTTCCCCCAGTGCCCAGGACCTGAAGAGGGAATGGGAAGAGTTTACTTGCCTAAAATAACTCTTGAACCCACGGTTGCATGTATGTGAGTGCATGAGAAAACGTGGCTCATTCAAACAGCAAAGCTAGACAAGGACAGTACCTTAACCTCCTGGGGCTGCAAAAACCTGGATGTGCTCCAGGACCATTCTATCCACATTTCTATTTTTTACAACAGGGAACAGTCTTGTCATTTGTTTAGATATTGACATTTGACTTCATGACAGAAGTCCAGAATTTGTCATTACAGGTTTATTAATATGCTCCAGGCTCGGGGGGGGGGGACACAGTGGCTTGAGCTCATCTCCTTTATACACCAATATTTGTCACTTGTTTTGGGAAATGGGTAGGATGACTTTAATCTTAATATTTAAGACAGCCTAAATATGGAGCAAAACCCTGAGCTGAGGGCAGTTATGGTTGGCTTGTGAAAGAAGGAAAAACTGACAGCAGCTTTGCACTGAAACCTATGAGGATTTGTTGGCGGTCCCACAAAGCCAAATCTTTTGAAAAGAAGGTTCTGCTTTAAGATCCATAAATGGCCTTCTTTTTATGAAGTGTCAGGGAAAGCAAGTTTCCTCAGGAACTGCCTGCAGCTATTCCCTTCCTAAGATGATTTCAGGGCTCAAAGGAAATACAGTACATCAAAGTTTCTTGTTTTGGCTTAATTTCCATCTCACATAGCTTCCAAGAAGCAACGGAGAGAAATTCTTTGAGGGTTATTCAGTAAAGCTCAGTCTGTCTCCCGTAGCCATTTAGGTTATTTTTTTTTTTATTGAATTTTTTCAAAAATTTTACAGATAAACATCCACCCCCCCCAACCACCCCCTCCCCCCCCCGACTTCCCCGAACTGAATATAGGATTATTTAACAAATTTTAAAAATAACGTTTACAATTTATAAGATAATTAATAATAATAATAAAAATCATGATCATAATATATATAATAATAATATACATAACATAAGCTTTAAAGTAAATAATATATACTAAAAAAAAAAGAAAAAAAGAAAAAGGAAAAAAGGAAAAAGAAAAGAGAGAGAAAAAGAAAAAAAGAAAAAGGTAGACGGAAAGTAGGTTATTTAACCCATTTAGGTTATTCTGACTCAGTTCTTCCACGTTTCTGAGGCTGAGAGAAAGGGAGTGGAGAGTGACGGATGGTTGCCATCATTTGTGCTGCTTAGAACAAGTCAACAGGACAGGTTAGGGGAGGAGAAGTGCAGTTAATTGGTAGAAATGGGACCAGGAGCAGAGCTAATAGCAGTAGGTGGAAGTTTTAGCTGACAAAAACTTATGCTTGGGTTCCAGATACAGAGAAAGAAGCAGCACAGCAAGGTGCAGCCTCACAGGAGTGCAGTGCACTCATAACACCCAATGAATCACCATTTCACTCTCCCTTTCCTGCCTCAGGGCAACACCAAATGAATTCTCCCCCCCCCCAAAGAATGAGGATGTATGTAAAATAAATATAGGGATATGCAATTTTAGACAGAATACTCCCCTAACATGAGAAAGATGCAATATTTCTTAGCATTCTGAGGAAAGATCAGGACCAGATAACCTCCATTTGGACAAAAAAATTTATCAGCTCCAAATTGGTCTCCAATCAAGCTTAGGAAAGCCTGATTGATGTATAGGGCAGGGGGAGGACTCATTCTCCACTTAAATATCTTAAATAAACATTTGACTGCAAAGAAAAACAACCTTATCTGGCATGCTTGCAGACCAAGAGAAAGTTCCTTGAGTGACAACAGCTATGGTTCAAGAGAATGTAATGAAAGGCCAAGCCAAAAGTTGAATTTTAAGAAAACTACCTTTTATGAGGGGAAAAAGCCCTCATTCTCCACACAAAAGTCTGGAACAAATGTTACACATCTGTCTGCTTTATAACTTAACTTTGGAGGGAACAGGCCATGCCCAACTGTTATTTTTCTGCAAAAGAAGAATGTGTTTTGCTTGGTTTGGTTATTTTTTGTGTTTCTGTAATATATTGTATTATTTATTATCAATAAAAAAGAAAGGCTGTGTATAACGACCTTTGGCTGAAAGTGTGTGAGATGTAAGGAACAGCAAAGGAGGGAAAGGGGCAAGGAAGTGAATATGACAGCACAGCTGCACAGTGGAAAGGCCACCCTCTTTGTAAATATATGCTGTGTCAATTCATACACAGAAGAGATAAGGTTTCACTCACACTTAATGCAACCACCATATTGATTCTTTTGACCCCTCCTCCAAGGATATCTCTGATGAGCCATCTACTTCAATTGTGAGAGACAGTAACTTAAATGGTTTACATAAAAAAGCTGGTTACCTCAGGGAGCCAAATGGAGGCCCAAAGCCAACTGAAATGTTTAGTTTTCTCCTTGACTGATCTGAATTCACTTCACTCCACTCAAATTCACCATATCCAAACCGGAAGAACATCTTGGAGACCACAGTAAGTTTCACCCTTTACATTTATATATCTAATCCCACCACCCAATTTATGCACTGGCCACATCACCCATCAATCAGAATTTCTAGTGATGGTGGAGAAACAACTTCAGTTTTGATGGAAGAGCTCCTAAGCTAAGGTGACCAACTTTTTTACAATGAAAAGATGGAAACAAATAAATTGAAGAAAAAAATATTGTAAATAAAAGAAACATTTTATTCATTGCAACAATAATACAGAATACACTATAATAGGATAAATGCATAATAAAAAACATTTGTAACAATAACATTTTATATTGTAATTATGCTTACATGCCGCGTTTCGTCCGCAGCCGCCCCGCCAGCACTGCTGCCCTGCTGGGTAGAATGGGCCCCGCAGCTCCCAAAGCACCAGCTGTGCCGGCTCCGGCCCCGGGGGGGCAGCCCGCCATCAACATACCCCGCCTGCAGCCGCCCCGCCAGCACCACCGCCCACCCTGCACAGCCCCGTGTAGAGCAGGCCCCACGGCTCCTACAGCATGGGGGGCAGCCGGCCACCACTGCCCCTCACCCCGCCTGCAGCAGCCCTGCTGCCCCTGCTTCTTGCGCCCGCAGCCATTATTGCCCTAGCAGGGCTGAAGATCAAGAGAAATTTACTGTGGCATCGCCACTCCAGTCTCTTCCAGGTATCTTTGGGACTAACTAGGAGATGGTGTAGTTGGGTAGCAGGGAGGGGTGCAAAGTTCCTGCCAATTTTCCTTCGCGGCAGACAACTTACATGTGCAAAGTTTGCCGGCTAGGTGTTTTGGCGTGCTCAGCAGCAATTCCTATTGGCTTTCGAAAGCCAATAGGGGAAGTAGCACAGCTCATGCAAAAGTTGAAAAAAACATCAAAAAAAGGTGCCAGAATGCCGTTCTGAGCGTTCTATGAGAAAAAAAAAAGCCCTGCAGATTAGTCTTCAAATATCAAAAAGGAGGACATGTAGGAGGACACTTTTTGAGGGAGGACAGAACTTTAAAAAGGAGGACTGTCCTCCCTAAAGGTCACCTTATCTAAGCAGATATGTCTGTGAAACCAGAATGTAAGCTGCAATGCTAGCTTATCTCAGCATGCCCTGACTTTTCTTTAAGTTTACGAAGAAACAGGAAAAAGTGCTGCTTTGTTGCTTTCCATCTTTGCTGCTCCCAGGCAAAATGGCAGAGCAAAAGAAAACATTGACTGCTGGAAGATTGGCAAAGGGGAGGGGTCCCCACGCTATGGCACAAGCCAGGCACTTTTCCAAGGCAGCCAGGACTAGTAGTGCCACTGGGCTTCCAGCGACAGCCAACTTAGGTGTACAAGGCTGCTAGGATAATTTTCTAGTTATATGTTGACTGCCTTGAGTAGTTTGTAAAAATAATGAGAACAGGACACAAAAAACAAAAATTGGTGTGACATGGCAGCCATGACTTGTATAGCAGTCTTTAGTTTCCTGTAATATTTTATTCTTATAGGACAATTAAAGCAGGCATAAGAGAGCTGTTAATATAAATGAGAAAAATGATATGCACAACAAAACCAACTGAGGTAATGCTGATCACCCAGCTGATCTGATCCCTGGTCACTTGCCCTCTTTCTGTTGTAAACTAGTTTAGTCAAATCCTCTTCCTTTGTAGCAAATTTGTGAATAACACCAGCTCAGGGGAAGGATATAGGGCAGTGATGGCGAACCTTTTAGAGACTGAGTGGCCAAACTGCAACCCAAAACCCACTTATGTATCATCGAGTGCTGGGTGGGTGTGGCCCATTGGGTGGGTGTGGCCCATTGGGTGGGCGTGGCTGCGGTGGTAACGGCAGACTGGGTGGGACTAAAAAGTTCAATCAATCAATTCCAACTTTGCAAGATCTTTTTTTTCCCGCGAGAAGTTGAAATTGATTGACTGATTGAACCTTTTTTTTTTTGCACACGGCGGCAGAGGCCTCAAGTGAAAAGGTTTTATAAAAACCCAGCTGAAGGCCTAGGACTGGGGCGACGGCGCGCATGCCCACAGAGAGGGCTCTGAGTACCGCCTCTGGCACCCGTGCCATAGGTTCGCCACCACTGATATAGGGAGTGGTTTATGAGTCTCACAGAAAGCCTAGCGGGCAGAGTAAGCAATCTGGCATTCTGATGTGGCTAAGCTATAACTCTTGATGTGGTTTACAATTGCTCATGCTTTTTAGATATGTTCAGAGTTGTAATTCAGCATACCATTGGATACCTACTGCTTTTATCTGTCTTCAGGCAGGTTTACTAAGACCACAGGTTTAGCTGAGATTATTTCTCTTTTGCAGGAGAACCCATTTTCGTTGCAGCTGCTGCCAAGTACAAGCAGGACGCTGACCCCACCTGTTAAATCCAAGAGGAGGTGCATCAGCTTGGGAAAAAACAATTGAGATCAAGAATAGATGAATATTTTAAGAACTGTTTCAACACATGGTATAAACCTTGGCTGAGCCACCCTCTGTTTTGGGGTTTAGAAATAAGCTTTTCAGATAGGTGAGGAAATTAACACTTCTTCCTTTAGAAACTGATCACCAAAGAATGTGTTGATTTTTAGAAGAAATCTGTTCAAAAACTCTTGAGGTTTAACATGAGCTTTTGACTCATTAATTACCTCTGTTCAGGCCATCTCCAAAATGTATATAGTGCAGTATTCAGAGGAGGCCTAGAAAGGAAAATTTGGCACTAAGTTATTGGATAATCCATATGAAAGAGCAAGCAATAATGGGCACTTCCAGACAAGATTGTTCCTAACCTTTAGAAAGGAGTCTGAAGCCCACCAGCAGGAGTCCTTGCTTCTGCACTTCACTTCTGCAAGCATCAAAAACATGATAAGTCAGTCAAAGCTCATGCCCAATAGAAGTTTGCAAAAAATGCAGCCCTACCTATTTTCTTCTCCCTGAGCAACTGCAAATCCTAGAGCAGGGGTTCTCAACCTTGGCAACTTTAAGACTTGTGGACTTCAACTCCCAGAATTCCTCAGCCAGCTTTGCTGGCTGAGGAATTCTGGAAGTTGAAGTCCACAAGTCTTAAAGTTGCCAAGGTTGAGAACCCCTGTCCTAGAGCAATAAAATGTTCTGTCAGCCTTGCAAAGTAATCCAGACAAGAAACACACACAAACTCTTCGACTAAAGTTGTATGTATAACAGCTAAGAGGAAAAGTGGAAGCCACCTGTCTCTCTGTAATATATATTATCATGTGTGCATATATAGAACAGAAATATAGAAGAGAAACATGAATAAATATGTGTGTATACATACATACATACACACACACATATATACATACACAGACACACACTCATATATTCATGTTTTCTGTTCTATATTTCTGTTCTATATAGGCACACATGATATTATATATTAGAGAAAGATAGCTGGCTTCTGATTTTCCTCTGTGTATACATACATATTATACATGTATATATGTATACACATATACATACACACATATATTTTTGGTCTTTTTTCAATCTCTTTTTTTCTTTGTATCTTCCTTTCCTTCCTTTTTTCTTTTTCACATTTACTTTATTATATTTTTCTTTGAATGTATTTCTTAGTGTATGTAAACTCTTTTACTAAAATCGTTTTTTTTTTTAAAAAAAAAAAAGATATTTATTCTGCAGATATAGTTGAATCCAATGCCAGGTTCATTTTCTGTCACTTTACACTGTATTGTAATGACATTATTTTAATTATAATTTAAAATGTAAGGGGAAGTGCAATATTTTATGCTAAAAATAAAAACAACCAGTATTTATTTCTCATGTTATACATTTTCAATGGCCATACTCCTTTTTTTGGGGGGGGGGGAAATTGCTTCTTCTACCTGTATTTAAAAAGTGTATATCTCTATATTTTAGTAAGGCAGAATGTGGAATATTTTCAGAAAGAAGAGTCACACAAGCTTTTTTTAGCAAATCAAATATAGCAAGTTTATTATTTTAGCAATATACCACTTTTTCTTCATTTTTTTCAATATGAAAAGGCTGCTTCAGTCAGTGGCACTGATAGGAGGTCTAAAGCACTGTATCTGAATTATATTCAAAGTCTATTATATCCTAATTATTTATATTACCATACTTTTCCATAAACATGATGATGATGATTTTAGTAATTGGAACAAGTTCTTACATATCATCAAAACAAGCATTTCCTGTATACTAATTGAGCATGAAAAACACATGCTAAACAAGAAATAAGGAGAGTGGTAGGATTCAGCCAGTTCGCACCAGTTCGGCAGAACCGGTAGCTAATTTTTTTGTTACCCAGGCCCAGAATGGACTTCTGGAAGCAGCATCCATACAGAGAACCAGTTGTTCACATATTTGAATCCCACCACTGGATAAGGACTATGGTTCAACAAGTAAAAGCACCAAGCCAACCTTGCTTATATCTCCCGAAGCTAAGCAGGGTGGATCAAGACAGCAGTTGGATGGGAGACTACTAAAAGATACACTGGAGAGTTGGAAAACATCCTAGAAGTAGGCAATGGTAAATCTCTTCCATATATTGCCAAGAAAACTCCGTGAAGTTACCACAATTTTAAGTTTAAAAAAAGGGATACTTTTTAAAGGAATATATGTTGTTCTCTTAGATAATTCATCATGTCAGTTTATGCCCATCATATTTACTTATTAGCAGGATAATGATGAACTGTTGAGGAATACAGAATCAGCCTTGAAAAACAAACATGGCCATCATTAGAAAAAAGTGAACTTAGCCTGGAAAAACAGAAGGAATGAGAAAGAAACTCAAGATAGTCCCACCATGATTTTCTTTAGTATAAAAAGAAAGCTTTAATATAATCTTTCAAGATTGTGTAATTATAGTCTAGGTCAATAAAAGTAGAGTTCTGTTATTTCTTGTACCTGTACATTTTCTGACCTGGTCTATCTTAAAGGGTTGACATCAACTCATTCATATAAAAAAAAATGTCAATGCTCCCATGCCATGTTGGTTGATCAAATATACTCATGGGTTTTCTGATTGACATGTGTACATGCAGCATCTCAAGACTTTTAGAGAATAACATTTTGATGGTTTTAAAGGGGATTTTTAAAAAAATGCATGAGGAAGAGTTCTCTTGCAGTTCTTTAAAGCCTTGTTTATCTCAGCATTTTCTTTACTGCCTTCTGGTACTTCAGTGATAAATGTCTTAGAGAAGATATCTGGGGAGTTGGATATTTTATTTTATTTTAGCTTATATCATTGACCTAATCCCGTTGTGGCGAACATATGACACGCGTGCCACAGGTGGCACGCAGAGCTCTCTCTGTGGGCATGTGTGCCATCACCCCAGTCCTAGGCCTTCAGCTGGGTTTTATAAAACCTTTTCACTTTAGGCCTCCGCCACCATGTGCAAAAAAAAAAAGGTTCAATCAATCAATCAATTTCAACTTCTCGCGGGGAAAAAAAAGATCTCGCAAAGTTGGACTTGATTGATTGAACTTTTTAGTCTCACCTAGTCTACCATTACCACCGCAGCCATACCCACCCAATGGGTCATGCCCACCCAGCACCCGATGATACATAAGTGGGTTTTGGGTTGCAGTTTGGGTACTCAGTCTCTAAAAAGTTTGCCATCACTGACCTAATCTATGTCCACACTTACTAATTTGGAGATACAGGTTAATGTTTAGTTCACACCTTTGCTTTTTTCAGTTTTATTTGATGGAGTTATCCCGAGTTAATGCTCTGAAAATTTCTATTGAATTGTCATCCACAGATTTAGCTATTCAAAGTACTACCAGTAGTGGATCTGGGCTGTGTTGAAAGAAAATTCTTCATCATGGTTTAGTCCAAGCTGGGAATAAACATGGTGACTGCTTTAGAGAGAAGGTTGCAGTTTATTGAAGAGGAGAACCAGACAGAAAGATGGCTCTGGAGCCTTTTATTTGGAGTTGTTCCTGTGGCATGAACTTTGACCTGAGTCTGAGTGTGCCCTTTGGTATCACTGTGTTAATCCTATTATATCCTGTTTTAGAGTTTGGGTGGGGTATGTAGATTTTAAGAGTCTTTGTCTTCCTAAGCTTCTAGCTTCAACCTTCTTGATGGTTTACATCTGCATTTCTATAGAACTGGTTTCTGCTTGGGGAAGGCAGACTTGGGGCTATTAAGAAAAACTGGGCAAGCTTTTCTGCCTCTTTAAGATCCTTTGAGGAAATATATTTTTGTGCCCTTTTAATATTTCCTTCTCTGGGAGACCGACTTCCCACAGCTGAAAAACTCCACGCTGCCATTCGATGGCTGCGAATAGATATACTACCGTATATAAAAACCTCTGTGGCCAATGGTTCCTCCCCCCTTCCCCAGCCCATATGTGCCTTAGAAACCAGTAGAGCTTCTCCCATTCATTTCTTGATCGCTGAAGTAATGTTTGTTGAGGCAACGAGACAATTTAAGAGCAAAATAACTTTAGCTGCAAACTGTTCCTTTCTCCTGTCTTATTAGTAAAGCCGTTGTTTCCAACAGGGCCTCTTGACTGTGTTTGCTCCCTGGAAAAAGCCATCCTATCAGTGATTATTTAATCCCAATCCTGAACAACCAGCCTTGCTGGCTTGTCACTCTGATCTGGCTGATAAAACGCTTCTGAGCTATTGATTAGCTTTTTACAGATTCATATCTAACAACTCTTGGTCACATTTGTGATTCTGCAATGCTGGCTTTTAAAGAAGGCACTGGGCAGATTGTCATTTTTTTTTTTAACTGGATCAGAAATGAGACAGGGCAATCTGATGCCCTGGGGCCTCCCACAAATGCTTGGAATTTTTAATGCAGATCAATAGGCATTAGGCCTAGAGGGAGAAAAATATCAGTGCATATTTTTTTTCATTCAGAAGAAATGAAATCAAATATATTGTCTTGGCTCTTTTCATCTCTTGGTCTTGGCCCATTTCTCTTTTGGGAGGATGGGTGCAGAACACCAGCCAAAGACCAAGGGTGGCTTCTAGCCCTAAAATCAGGCAAATTCTGGGAGTTGAAGTCCACAAGTCTTAAAGTTGCCAAGGTTGAGAACCCCTGGTATAACACATTTCCCAGACAGAGGGATGACATCAGATTTGAGGATCTACTCTGCATGGACCATGTGTTCCTAGTTTGATCACTAGGTGGCACTCAAAGGCACTGACAGGGTTTTTTCAAAGTGACAAAAACTGTGACAACTATATGCATGTAAGAATGGGTGGACTTCCATCAAATCCCACAATACTACTTTCATATCCACATATATACACCTCTGTTAGGATTGGGTTTAACTCTAATTGGAAGATTTGACTATTACTATTGCTGCTTTGCTCTTTTTCTTAAGAGAGAGAGAGAGAGAGAGAGAGAGAGAGAGAGAGAGAGAGAGAGACTTCTCAATTGATACTGGGTCCCATGTGTTGCTGGAATACAACTGCCATAATTACTAACAGATGCTGAAAGGAGGCCAGGGATGATGGGCCTTTTCATCCAGCATGGCAGAGATTGGAACAATGCACTGGAAACCACCTGCTCTGAAGGGCTTAAGCAGTAAATGGCCATTCTGAACTGAAGCTGGAAAACACAGGCATGGGGTGCATTTGCAGTGGGAGGGGGAGGAGGAGGAGGAGGAGATTAATTCAAAAGAGCCATGGTGGTGCAGTGGTCAGAATGCATTATTGTAGGCTAATTCTGCCGACTGCCAGCAGTACGATTCTCACCAGCTCAGGGTTGACTCAGCCTTCCATCCTTCTGAGATCTGTAAAGTGAGGACCCAGATTGTTGGGGGGCAATCTATAAACTGCTTAGACAGAGCTGTAAAGCACTGTGAAGTGGTAGGTATATAAGTCTAAGTGCTATCGCTATTCCTGCACTGAGGAAGTGGATGAGTGGCCTGCACTGGTGATGGGCCAAGCAGAAATTGAGAATCCACACTTTGGCACATCAGCCCAATTTACTGTAACCATAAACTTTGTATAATTTCAGTCATTGGGCTGAAATACAGGAGGAAGGGAAGGAAAAGGAGGAGGAAGAAATTTGCTTTGATCTCTTGGGGTGGGATAAAATGATTTGCAAATCAAAATAGCACACCATTCGAATTAAATTAAAACAAATTATGGCTTTACAAGAGAATTCTAATTAAGGTGACAGGGCTTTTCAATCAAAACAGAGATGCTGGGAACCTAGCCTTTGGCATTATGTTATTATCTTCATAATAGTTCTCATAAGCTACTCTGGAGTCAAAGGGGAATGTGGCACACAAATAAAGGTTCCCACTTTCCAAATTACTGTGGCTGTGTTGAACTGATAGCTGCACAAATGCCACAGTTCTGCTTTCAAGAGGTAAACTCTTCCACACCAACAAAAAACGATAAACAGTAGTTTAGACAACTTTAGAGGAGAAAGGCAGATAGCAAGTGCATTTCAGTATCCTCTGACGGTGATGTATTTATCAGAATTTGATTGGATTTTGTTTTATTTGTTGTTGTTTTTGACAGAGGACAAAAAAGAGTATTTTTAGCATAGAAACAATTTCTATAGTTAAAAAAAAGCGGAAGGAAGGAAGGAAGGAAGGAAGGAGGGAGGGAGGGAGGGAAGGAAGGAAGGAAGGAAGGAAGGAAGGAAGGAAGGAAGGAAGGAAGGAAGGAAGGAAGGAAGATTATTAAAATGAAAGAAAAAACTCTACTGTGTGACACAATACAACAAGCATTTCTGTAGTTATTTACAGTAGCAAAATTATAAAATCTTATTATTCAGGCTTGTACAAATTATTAGAGTGCAGGACCTGATGCTTTTGTCAAAATAATTAAA